GGACTATCAGCGACATACGGCGTGCACACTAACAGTTCATTTCCAGTTTGGACGGTTGGTATTAATCGGGTTCTCAACGTATCGCACTAGAATTTACTGCACAGGGGACCGAAAGTAATGGAAGCTTTCGCTTACATTGTGGAAAGGTTGGCTCAGATCAGTGCATTACGAAATATTAAAAAAAAGTATGTTTTTTCCTATACTTAAGTATAGGGAAACATACTTTTTAATTATTTATATTATTATTATAATATATATCTAAATACTATTTTGTGTCGTTATAGCATTTATTTGGGCCGAATGAAGTAAGAATTGGGTAAGCAAATTGTGTTCCTTTTTCATTTCAGAAATTTTTCAATCGTAATAATCGCCGGTAAAGCCCAAAACAATGTTTTGGTGAATTTGAGAAAAAATGCATGGGAAAACTTTCGTATTGGCAACAAAGTTTTTATTATCATTCTTTTGATTCCGGAGGTTTTGTGTGTTCATACTCTTAATTAATGAACGCATCACCTTCGGGCACACCTGTAGTAAATCCCAGCGGGATAAGTTGAGATACCGAGCTTTGCGGACCGTCCAAAGTGGGATCGAAGCGTTAGTGTACACCGAGACATGGTGTAACCCTGACCTGCCCACAGTATGGCTCCGTATGGAAGACGCTGTCGCCGGTGAAGTGCCACACGTTGCCACTAGGGGAGGTCGGTAAAGACTTTTCTATGACCCAAACGCGGCTCACGGTCTGTCTAGCGCACAGTCCGCACGGCGCGTGGCTGGTGATATCTAGTGCCACTATATAAGCTACGCTCTAGTGATATCTCTTTCTCGGGAACACCTCCCATACCATGGCGCCAGCAGGCTGCAGCAGCAAACACATCGAGGGGCTTTGGAAGCAGCAGTAGGAGCGGAGATAGGCCCGTATCTCTCAAGTTCTGAGCAGCGCTCCAGGCAAGCAAAATAGAATATTCGACTCGCGTTTCGGACATGCGTGAATGCGGTTCCCCACTATAGTTTCCTATACACCGTTCTATTCGAAGTGCCAGCGTAGCAGAGGCTACAAGAGCAAGCTGCGAGCTATCAGCGTCCCTATACCTAACACGCGCGCTCGTGCAGTGCGAGCACCGTTGGGGGAACGTGCTTTTGCGAGCAGCTTAGGCTTCGCGATCATGTAAAGTGAGACATACAACGTGCTGGCGGAAGCTATGAGAGAAAGCAAATATGAAAGGAATGTTTAATGGGACGCTGCGGCCTCGAGCTGCAGAATATTTTCTTTAGACGTTCTCTTATCGCGCATCTACAGACGCTGAGAGGTGCTTTTATTCGAAAGCGGCGCGTGCAAAATAAAATAAAATTTTACAGCGCCACACGGACGGTGCAACCAGCATAACCTGGTCGCGTCCTGCGCAAGTCTTCCGGACCCGCTGGCACCCCCTGCCCCAAGGCAGCGGGTCTATCGGTGGCCGAATGGGCTAGCGCACGTCAGCTCGGAGAACGTGGAGCGAAAGCTCGCGCTGCAGAAACCAGGATTCTGGGTTCAATCCCCACCCCTGCTTGTTTCGATCTGGACGAGCAGCGTACCGGCGTTCGGTCGCGTATCACTACTGCATGATGCATGTTAAAGACCCCATGCTAGAAATTGTACTGCACTGGTTAAATTTTTCATCTACAGCTGGGAGCTTTGTCGCCCGTTGAGGCAGACCAAGTTCTAGACTGTATAAGCATACACAGAACCCAACTGTTATTAAGCAGCAGTGGAACGTAAAAGGGTTCATCGCTCTCACGTTTCCTTGGATGGAAAAAGCGCGTTTCTCAGGCACGGGAGTGCAAGTACGTTTTATAGCCCCGACTGCATGCTCTTGTGCCATCGTCTAAATAATGGGTGTTTTCGGATATTACCTATGAATAGCTAATATTCTGGCAGACGGCGCTTCTAATTACTGTTGTGGTAGGTGTCGCTACCATTAGGTTGTATATATATATATGAGAGTAAAGAGGCACAGGGAGTTACTTGTTTCGTTCCACCCGGACCAGGCGCGTGTGTTTGTTCGTTCCTCTCTAGCCTCGACGGTCGCCGGTCTCTACAGCTACGAATCTGTCCCGCGACCACAGACTGACAATATCCCGCGAGGCCCGCGAGGAGAGCTGGTCAGGGCCAGATAAGGCCGCCGCGCCTTGCGCGCCTCTGATTGATATGCGGGAACCTTATGAATAAAAAAGGCATTATGCAGCGCCGCGAACTCATAGCATGACGAAACGATGCGGCCACGGCCATGTACTAAGAGGTGCGCGCTGGCACATTTCTTTGTGGGCAGGTCAGGATCAGAGTAGGTCGTGGTGTAGACCCTGTAGTCAACGTTACTGGAGCAAGCTCAGTTTCACAGCTCCGCCCTGCGACGTGGGCTCAGTGGCGGTCACGAGAACTAGCAGCGCTGCAGCCGAGTCTTGCTTCCGGATTGTCTAGCCCGCCAAGTTTGAATAGCAATACTTGGGCTTGGGCGAGTTGGCAATTGATACTAACACATCAAACCGCAAGAAAACAGATGCACACAAAATTAAATTTCAAACACTCAAAGAAAAACACTCACAATGCGCTGACTCTGATTTCTTTGGTGTATTACACTTCATCTTCATCATCTTTTTTTTCTATTATGCACATGGAAGTAAAAAAAAACGAAACAAAGAAAAAGAGTAAAGAAAGCTCTCAACGCGGTAGTTGTAGACGACGCGCGAGACAAGGAAGCACGATCCGTCTGCAGCGCCGCTAGTTCTCGTGATTGTCACCTGGGCCACTCGCCTCTGCTGGCGAGAATAGGGAGCTGCGGAACTGAGCTTGCTCCAGTAACCTTGCCTGTAGTGCTGTCTTCAAAAGCGCGTGACGCATTCGTACTATCGTGCAGTGTCCCTAAAAATAAAATGAATGCATAGGTGCCCCCTGACTAAAACGGTTATCAAAATAAAGCTAGCAGAATCCTGACGTACGGCCCAGATTGCTAGCCGAGAATATTTGTTTTCCAGGTTTAAAGACGGACTTCATCCTTTGTTGTAAGGAAGAGAACATGTACCTGCAGGTACATGCTCTCTTCCTTACAACAAAAGACGAGGCCCGAAAACCCGGCCACTTAATCCTACATGTAGGGTTAAGTGGCCGGGTTTTCAGTCTGGCGCAGAGCGGTGGCATTGAATAATATTTTCCCGCTTTGAGACGTCCTTCATTACGAGAAATAAGTAGGTTGTAATTTTTAAAGGCACAAGTACACGTTCAAAGCCTCTCGTAATTTTTCTCGTCTTTCACTTTGGTATTCACTGACAGAAAAGAGGTCGCGTCTCCTGCACGTTTAGATAGCAAGACGGTAGTGCGCCTCCGCGATCCGGCGGCAAGGTTAGACGCTTTGGAAGGGGTAACTTATCGAGTGCGGTCTGAGACAGCCTCGGGTCTACAACGAGCTCCATGCTGTTGTCATTACGCAACCTAAACTTTCTTCACAGCCTTGCAGCCCACCCAGAAACACCTTTTTGTCTCGCAAATAGATATTATTATATTATTATTACATCCGCACACCTGTAGGATGCACGTCCATTAAGAAACAAGCAAGGACACCGCACAGGTAGATGATTGTTTGAGCAGATATACGACATTTGCATCAGATTCAATCCTAGTGCCCCTCCCCTCCCCCCCCCCCCCCCTCCCCCCATACACATCCACACATTTATCCTGAAGCCGTGAGTTTCTTGTCTTAATGTGGTGAGAGCAAAGTGGGCAGAAGCGTGCTGTCATAGATGGCGAGATTTCATCAGTCGATTCAAAATATGGAGGAGCCTTGTGTTTATGCGACCAAGAAGACATGTCTATAAAAGCTCTGGTGGTACACACGGGTACCGAAAATTAGCCAGATGTATATATCACCTTAGTAAAGAAAGATATAAAAACGACATGAACCTCTGTTTTTCTTTCTTATTCAAGAGAAGAAATTCTCTAATTAAGTAGAACAAGGTGCCGTATACCATGGTGTGGTTTGACTTAAAGCACCTCGATCTGTTTGCGTTTGTCTCGCAAGTAGCGTCAGATGCGCAAGTGCACGAAGACCGTTCTCGAGCGGCATTTGGACGCAAATGGCGGCGCAGCTCTAAAATGAGCGACCCTTGGAATCGAATGGCGCCGCAGCTCTGAAATTAGCGGCCCTTGGAATCCAATGGCGGCGGAGCACTTGCTTGTAACACGTCTTGCGCCAGCTCACAGCAACGGTTCGAGGTACTGGATAGCATGTATTTTATCAAGGGACTTTAGTTGCACCGATACGAACAGCATCGCCATACAGATAATGTGCGCCGGTTGAGTTTCTGCCAAAAAATAAGCAGCGAAATCACCCACATCATCACTTCCAGCCAACTATGCCAAGTCATTCAATGAGTGCACCTACCTCTCCAGCCCAGCCTACCTGGGTTCTGCAGCGCGAGCTTTCGATCAAAGCGCTCCGAGGTGGTGTGCGCAAACTCGCACGGATACCTATACTTCTTTTTTTTCTCCTTATTGTTCGACCACCGATCCCCCTACAAAAAAACAAAACAAAAAAAACACAAAAAAACCCCCAAAAAACACGGTGTTTGCTGCAGACATGACGACAGGCCTGAAGCCTATTCAAAAGATGTTTGCTTCGAACATTCCGTGAACGTTTCTGCTGACAGTTTTTATTAACACTCTGACAGGACGTCATACAAGAAAGAAAGGTGCCCAAAGCCGGGGTTACACTGCCCGTACATCATACCTAAGACAGCCTGTAAACACGTGCCGCGTGCCAAAGACAGCCTGCAAACACTTGCCGCGTGCCAAGTTCGCACCTTGAAATCTGCCACGCGGCATTCGAAGCGTGGATCTCGCGGTGACTCGCGTTCCAATTTATATGCAGACTGTTTTTTGTATGAAGTATCAGCAGTGGGACCCCGGCATTAGAGAGTGTCTGCAGTATGTGTTTTTTATAATGTATTATCAGGTTGAACGCGGCTGGAGATTGTGCGAATCAGATATTGATAAAACATTGACTCGACAAATATTGACCTTACCCGTCAGTCGAGAATGTCCGTCTCGTACTCTCTCTCATCGCCAAGTCCCTCGTCCGGTGAGTCCCTCGCCCCAGGACAAAGCGGGTTTGCCACAAGCGCGCTGTGAGGTCTTTTCCGAGTCGCACACACCGGCTCGTGCCTCGGCGAATGCAGATTCCCGGACACGCGAAGCGCGTCCGTTACCACGCCGTCACAAACAACACAACCACCACCACCTTCACCAGCGACGTCCACATACGCCCTGGACCCCGTCCCTCGAAGAGCCTTGTATTCCCCTCGAAGCACGGCTGCCACGATATTTGACTTGGTCGTCGACGTCCGCTTGGTCCCCAGCAATGGCGCCGGACTTCCGGACTGTTCTTCCCCTCCTGCTGGAAAGCACTCGGGGTCTGTTTGCTGCTTCGATTCCAAGAGGAGTGACTCTAGCCTCATCTGGGTCTCCTTTGCCGCCCGAGGACCTTGCTGAGGACGTCGCACGGCCAGCAGGCAGGCCGAAGCCGCCACCAGCGCCAGCAGAACTATCAGTCCCAGAATGATGCCTCCGATCTCAGGTGCGGACAGTGCTCCAAGGTCTGCGGATCTAGGTCGCACCAGGAGGGTGACGTTTGCTGTCTGGTTGCCGGCACGGTTGGCAGCAATGCAGAGATAGCGGCCGCTGTCCTTGAGCATAACGTTGATGATGGTCATCGTGCTGGATTGGTGGCGGCCGGCGTCTTTGGCGCGGAGGAGGTACATCTGGCGGCCGAAGGACATGAGAGACAGGTTGGCGATTGGCCGGCTGCGCCAGAACCAGCGAACTTCGCCCGCTGGCAGGGAGTCCACATTGCAGCGGAGTGTGGCGTTGTCCCCTTCGATGGCGTATACACGCAGATCAGAAGCGGTGATCTGCACAGAATAGTAATATCGTTAATATAGCCTAAGGCAGTTTTTTATTTTATTTTAAAAACATAATGTTTGAGCATAGAAATACAAGATGCATATCAGTGTTGCGGAGTTGCTTCTCCGAAATTGGTATGATTCCGGGATTATACCGCACTTTGGCGATCCCGGAATGGAGTAGGAATGGAATGGCGGCAGCGCTGGGGAAAATGGAATTAAATGCCTTTTTCCCGGAAGAGAGTGGAAATGGAATAGGCTCCGTCCTTAAAGGGCCGATGAAACGAATTTTGGGTTGGGATAAAGGATTTTAAATTGGGACTTTACTAATTGCAGATCGTTTAGTTGGCCGAAAGGAAGAGGGTAGAAAGTCAAAAACCAGCTTTTCGGTACGAACATTTGAAAATATAGCGGACTATTTTGTGCCTTCTTTCCTTGGGAAGCTCTCCGCCTTTTCACTATGATACATCCACGATTCCCAAAGCGCGTCAGTGGTGCCAACCTGACGTCAGCCGAGCCCAGCTCACGCATTGGACACGAGAACTGCGTCACTCGGACGTATGCGCTGTTTAGAAAATTTTATTTACAACAGTGGTGTCATGCCCAGAAAACCAAAAACCGAAAACGCGCTATGTACAGTATATACAGGCTTTCAAGCTAGCCAACCCCGTGCCTAAGGCGCGGGCACGCGCCCGCCGCTCGGCAAAGCGCCCGTCCGCGCGATCACTCCCGCAGAGGCCCCTCAACCGCTACCGCGCTCGCACGTCCCGCCCCTGCGACACCTCAAAGAGAGGGCCGCATCGCGTCCCGTTCCCCCTTTCTCCGCCTAACGCGGTCTAGATATGATCAACATATTGAAAACGGAGTTCGATGCGAGAGTTGGGCACGTGTAGGTATCGGCAGGACCAGCGCCGCAGGAACTTCTGGTCAACAATCAATCCGTTGACGAATATTCGGATTCGCGTTTGTGGCCAATGAGTGCCTGAAGCCTAGTTCACATGCAGCGGTTTTGGCCCTAGAGCGGCGCGATTTCTGCCGTCGCGGCGCTCTGGCCAGCACCAGCAATTCTGCGGCACGAGCGCCGCGACGGCAGAAATCGCGTCGCTTTAAGCCTAGTTCACATGCAGCGGTTTTGGCCCTAGAGCGGCGCGATTTCTGCCGTCGCGGCGCTCGTGCCGCTTAACCGCTGGTGCTGGTCAGAGCGCCGCGACGGCAGAAATTGCGCCGCTCTTGGGCCAAAACCGCTGCATGTGAACCAGGCTTTAGGGCCAAAATCGCTGCATGTGAAACACGCTTGAGCTTATCGTCACTGGCGAATGACAAGTTCTATGGTGTGCATAAAAAGCACGGTGGACGCTAAGAGTCATCGGACCGGTGCCGAAGAATGTCACGGCGACGTGATTTCACAATTTGCATTTGAGTTGAGGATTAAAGCTAAGGAGGAAGAAGTAGGAAAATCGTTTCATGACCCGTTTAAGCGAGCTGTGTAGATTTTTATATAAGGCCTACGAGCTGATGGCGCGATTTGTAAGCGCATGGTAAGTGGCTTTTGAAACAACATCATAGCACTGGAGGTGACTGACGCCTTGGTTGTCGCATTGGCTTATGCTTCTTTGAGCATAAGAATGGCGCGCCCTCAGCGAAGCAACTAAAACTAAATAGCTCTAGACGGACAAAGTTTCGTTCCTGGCGCCGCGAGACGCGTAAAGGGGGCTGTTTTCATTATGCACGTATAGCATGTCGCTCTTAACCAGGGTTTTGAACCGAATTGTAAACCGGAGCAAAAACCGTTATGTTTTAACTGAATCGGAAAACGACTGTAACCAAAATCAAACATTTAATACTGACAGTGAAACGGGATGGAACGCGAATCTTATGTGGCGGTTAACAATTCATTTGAAACAGATCGGCGTAATGAAATGTGAGCCCGGCATTCTGGCCGGTGGTAGCCCGAAGGTCATTAAATATCCGCGAAGGTGGGGTTAGCGGCCCAGTCTTGACTAAAGAAGTGGCAGCGACGACATAAAGACAACTGCATAATACTGCAAGCAATAAGTATATTTCTTGACTACAAACTATCGGGTTCGAATGAAGTGCGAACACTGGAGCGCAAGGCCGTCGACAACTGCTGGGCCTCCTGGCGGCCCCTTAAGACCGATACAATGGCGGAATGGAGAGTAGGGCGCTGGACGTTCCATCACTGATCGCATTTCACTAAAACTTTGTAACAGGACGAATAGGCTTAGGAAAGTCGATGTGGAGGCTCGTACAGTTAGGTTCACCTTAAGACGAACCGCAAAGTACACCACGAACCAGAAAAGCCAATTCATAGGTCAGAGGGCGGCACGTGTCCTTCCAGAGGGGCGGAATGACGCGGGAAGCGCGGAGTTATGAGACCAGCTACAAACTACGAATTGGCTCGTGTAGCTCCTAGCGTTCACCACGGTACATCGTAAGATGAAACGTAGAATACTGACTATGCCGAGAGGCTAAAGACCTCTTTTTTATGTGTGTGTGAGTTATTTTCTTGCTGCTAAGCAATATTACTCAATGAAGGTTAAAGCAAACACATAAACATACAAATAAAAAGTTGACGTCTGTAAGCGTGTTTGTTCCATGGTGGCGAAATGTGGAGGCGCCAAGAGGCGAAGCCGTAACGAGCGCGATACTGCGCGGCGCTGGTCGTCTGGACGCCAGTCGCCTAGAGCCATGGAGGCTGCTTGAACTAAATTTTGTTTTCTATGTGTGCGTTTTCTAAAAACAACAAGTCGCCCGTTGTATTTTGTCCTTTTTTTGTTTTAATCGGCTTTAGACCAGCCTTCGCTGTCCTTCTGTTTTGCAGTTCAGTCTTTTGAGTAAGTCGTTTGGGCGTGCGGTGTGGGTAGTTTGCCGTTTTGATCTGGATGAGGAGCGTACCGGCGTGCGATTGTGTGTCAGTACTGCGTTATATCCGTTAAAGGCCCCACACTAACAGTCGTACTGCACTGGATAAATTTCTTATCTGCAATGGGGAACAATTTCGCCATACTCTGGCAGACCAGATTCCTGCTTTTAATCATCTAACAACTAATTTCTTGTTTTTTTTTCGGGTAGTTTATGAGTACGGTGCGTGCTATCGTCAAAGTGTCACTGTGCGTGTTGGCCGATCTAATTTACATCTGAGTACTGTATTTCGGTACTGTTTCCAAAAGCCTGCACAACTACTTAATCTTTATGGAACGGTGTAAGCGCTGAACATTGAAGATCATAAAACAAAATTGAGCATATATCTGTTTTGCTGTCCTCGTTCCCGGAACATATCTGATAATCTTTTTTTTAATGCAGATGACGCCGTGGTTAACTTACTTTTTTTATAGTGCTGTGGAAATATTTTTTAAGAACAGCTTTAAACTGGCTCGCGCTTAGTGGAACCGGTAACTGAACCGCTATTGCCAAAGCAGTACTAAACCAGAACAGAACCGAAACAACACGCGATGCTATTGAACCCAGAACGAACCGGAATAATGCCCATTTCGACTCCCTGATTTTAACCCGGCTGATCTTCTAGTGTTTTCATGAACCACAAACAAATAATTAGTTTAAATATGTCAAGAAATTAAAAGAAACGCACAGAAAACGTACATGTTTACGTTTTAAGGCAGGTTTCATAATATAGTGCTACACTCACTTGTGCTGGCGCCATATACCAGTCGCACTTTCTCAGCAGTTTTCTGTTCTTGCCGCAGTGCGTGCATGTTTGTGGCAGGTATGCATGGCGTCGCTTCTAACAGCGCACTAGCGGTGCTGTTGTGCAAGCATTCGAATCAGAGGGCAAGGCAGCTTCTTCCTGTGCCACGCACGAACTTGACATTTTTAAGGCTTTGGCAAGCAGAGAACACGCTGACCATGTAGGCATATATTTGTTGACTGTACACGCACTGTTTGCGAAGAAAATGGGTGGTTTTACTTTTTGCGCCTGTTGCAACCCGGAAGCTTTTTAAGCTTGATTGTGCGGTCGATGTCTGCACCAAGTGATACGATGCGCTTTCTGCGATTACCCTCAGCTTATTATAATGAATGCTTTGAGAAATATTTTGTATGCAATTGCAGTCGTCTCCGAATTTGATAACGTCAGCAGCTTTATGCTGCCTTTTTTCCAGTAACACAATGTGGCTGTCAGTTCCCATTTTTCACGTTAGGGAATTAAAGCAACGGAAGCAGAAATGAACCGAGTATTTTTTTTTTTTGAGGATTTAAAAGGAATGGAACTGTTGGAAGCTCTAATTCCCCGGAATAGAATGAGGGTGACCATTCCGCAAAACAGAAGCATCTAGCTTAATATATGATAAGACGTTAAAGGTTACATAGTAATAACTGTTACATAGTAATAACTGCCTCACAATTACTATGTTACATAGTAATAACTGCCTCAAACACTAATGCTCTTGCTGATGCTTTTATCGATTGGTACGTTTTCTTGTACCATTGTGTGAATGCAAGTTCGTATCGGGTTGCGAAATTTATATTAGTCCGCACATGTGCACAATCTTAAATATTTGAGGTGTGATCGAAACATTCCGAGACTGATTTTGTAGCGCAAAAAGAGAACGCAGCACAGTAATGCGCGCGCAGCAATCAAAGGAAGGTATCTTCGTGTCTCGTTATACCAAAGGGCATCGTTATGTGAACAGTTGGAGCTGTTGTACACGAGCTTTTGTGACTACGTGACCGGTCACAATGGCGATTTTACCATAAACCGCAAAGCAGAGTTAGAGCGAACATGAATTCGACGTAAAACTTGGCAAAAAGAAAACAAAGGCATCTAGAATTATTCAATAAGCTTGTATAAAAAGCAATGAATTTGACTGTTGTAGGGCGACCCCATCCGAAATCTTCTAGACCAGTGACATCCTGCCATTTTTGAGGCGCCAGTGCCACTCAAAACACAACGCACGCCTCACTGCTTCTTGACATAAGCCTTCTAATTAATTTCAGAAAGTTTTGTTCTATAATTTCCGAGTTTGACGTAAAATTCATGTTCGCCCTCGCTTTGGTTTGCGGTCTATGGGGACATCACTATTATGCTTGTGCATGTGGTCAAACAAACTCGTGTTGCACAGTTACAAATGTTCAGAGAGCCCAATGGCATCATGACGTAGGAAGGTCCCGCCTTTGACTGCTTTTCGCGATTTATGTGCAGCCCTCTATGTAAAATGTACTCTACAAAACCAGTCTCGGAACCATTTCATAACACCTCGTATTGGAAGTTCTCCCCGACATATAGACGGCTGTTTCTAAACGTGACCATGGCATTGGGTTGTGCTACTGTGCAGCCTTCACCACCAGATCCATCTGCAACGAGTCTTACGTGGCTTAACTAAAAAAATATACATATTCTGCAATGTTAAACGTTGAATGCTCTTTAGCATAAACGTACAGGTGGAAAATACTAACTCGATTACGTATGCGCTCAATATTGATGTATATGAATTCAGTGTTAGGTGTTCTGAATACACCAATTATCTAACTCACTATCTAGGGTTATCAATAGGTTAATTAGTATCGCGCTAACTCTGGTGCTTGCAACGTAATATTAATTCGTTATAAAGCAAATTCAGGAATGTATTTGAGACGTAACTTTACCTGTGGAGCGCACGCGAAGTCATCTGGCTCCAGTTGGGTCCACGACAACTGTGCAAGTCTCACGGGTGCATCACATTTCGGCGGCACGGAAAGCGGCACATTGTGCAGCTGCATCCAGCGCCGTAACTCACGAAGGTTGCAGTCACACCTCCACGGATTGTCACTCAGGTCAAGCGAGTTCAGGGGCGGCAACTGCAGCCCTTCTGGCGGTAACGTCCTCAGCCTATTGCCGTCTAACTTTAGTAACTCCAATGTCTCCAAGTCCGCAAAGGTGTCTCCCTCCAACCAAGCCAGTTGACAGTGACTTAGCTCAAGAGACACCAAAGTCCGCAGTCCCTTGAAGCTGTGGCCGCCGAGCCTCTGGATGGGGTTCGAGCTCAGCTGTAGTCTTCGGAGGTGACCGCAGTACGCCGCCAGCTTTGGCGCCGCCGTCAGAAAGTTGTGACTCAGGTCGAGCTCCACGAGGTTGCTGAGTCCACCAAAGGCGTCATCGGCCATCTGCACTATTCCGCAGCGTGACAAGTAGATTCGCTGCAAGTGTAGCAGGCGGGCCTGTTGGAACTGCCTTCCTGGAAGGGTCTGCAGAACGTTTCCTGTCAGGTTGAGCACCTGAGTGTCTGGTGGGATGTGGTCTGGCACAGAACCAGAGAGTCCTCCGCACTCGGCAGTGCGTTTTCCTCCGCTCCATTTGCAGCTGCACGCAGTAGGACAAGTCGGTGTCCTTGCCGTCGTCGCTGTCGCGGCCGTCACCGTGGTCGTGGCGAGTACGGCGGCTAAGAACACGACTTTGAGGCAGCGGGCCAACACCAGCGGTAACATGGGCCTGGAGTCTCCGTCAGGGAACTCGAATCTTTGTACAGCTGCGACCTTGTCTCTGAGCCGCGGGACGGTGGGCCGGGAGTCTGGTCGACACCATCGATGACGGAGTGCCGACTGACGCCTGGCGTTCACATGCCCGCGGTCAGGACGTCAGCTGCCTGGATCGTTAAGAGGGGGTACTCGCCGATTGTTCCTGACCATGGCGGGGGAACGTGTCTACAGAGGGCTTGCTGCTTGTATTGCTCTTATGATCGAGAACGGAGGCCTTGTTGGACTGAAGCGTCCTCCGTGCAAGGCTCTAAAGCTAGATGGCCTTGTGGTCGTAAGGGGAGGACACGGACATTCTCTGCTTCTCACAGGTGCACTCATGATGTGGGCACGTTGCCGGTTTGAGGATTGTAGACGTATTGGCACAGGAACAAACTGCGCTGCTTGCAATTGGATGAGCTGGGGTCAACCATTCAGCCAAAGGAACACTGTCGTAGCGTGGTGACGTTGACAGGAGTCGTAGTTCAGCCTCAAATACCGGTCATTTGCACTGTAAACGAAATAAAAAAAAAATATCATTAGAACAATAAATACGGCATTGCAACATAAAAACTTTAACAAATTCAGTGCAGTCTAGTGGCTAAAATATCAGTATATTTTTTATGTTAATGTACTCGGCAACGGCAGATGTAAAAAAAAAAAAAAAAAAAACAACTTGTGAGGATCTTTATTGTCCAATTGTTTCTCTATTTGTTTCAGTTGTGATGGTGTCGAGAAACTACTACTCTTTATGAGGCGCTTCTTGAATCAAACCAGACTCTGGTGAAATTGTGAATAAAATTCCCTACATTTGATTCTCAAGTTCATGCCGAAGGGGGGTATTCCAGGGACTTATATAGCAGGCTCAAATCTGTAGCCCATAGAAGCAATACACGGGTAGTCATGGTGACACCGAAATGTAATACAGTGAACTAACGTCTTAAATGTTCAGGTTCTGCTTGTCTTTAAACTCTTTTTTCCCCACCTATCGAAATGCCGCTATTTAGCATGCAAAGATGACATAAGGCTTTAGACGCTTTCAGGCAGCTATGCGTTGGTGCCGCCGTAAGTAACATTCAGTTTTTGTATGCACTTACTCCGCTCGCTTCACTTCATCATTGCCAAAGCAGGACACTTATTGCCACTTTAAATGCTACTGTGTCTTTCTCCCCAGCATAGGCCTTTGTGGAGGCTCGTCAACGCCCGCTTCAGTGGCTCGGCATCTCGGTTAGACCAGACAGGGTCGGCAATGGCGGCCCAATCTGGCGCGTGTTTAAAGCGTCTATATAAGAACAGTTATAATCATGCCATTGTTACGCTTTCGAAAAGAGCGAAGCTTAAGAAAAATTGCCCAAGATAAAACCGTTAAATAAGCTACACATAAAGTATCAGCACTCCGTCCCCAGATTGCCTCGGTGGCGCCGCCATTTTGGTGCTTAATGCAAATCGGACGCAATGGCGCTCGTTGCAACTTGCAAGTCACCATGACAGGCCTTCAAAGTAGAGGCTCTCGCTAGCGCTCCTGGTCATCACGAGGGTTATCTGCCCAAGCACATCGAATCGGCGATTTCAAAAATAAAAAAAAAAGATTAGATAGAAATCACCCGAAAATATTAAAACATAATACGATCAGATTGACCTGCTTTAGCAGAGCAGAACAGATGGACAATTGGGAAAAAAGGCCACATGCAGGTGCTTAAAGCTTTAGATGATGTTTTTTTACGGCAAGCCAATACACATCTCAGACCGCGACGTCCGCTCTAGGAGCCAAGGCGTTGTCTACAATCAAGTCCGCGTTTGTCGATCCACGTGGGGTCACTGCACGCGCGCAGAAATCCAATTGGGAGTACTCACTGGACGCCATATTTGAGGGCGATGATAAGAACGCATGCTCAGAACGAGTTCACATTACTAGGCTGCCAAGACCGCTAATCTTGATGGTGCGGAATGCACGTTGCAAAAGAGCTGTGGAAGCTCGTCGTCAGCACGCGCTCAGAAGTCGCGTACACGGCTATGGCCGCCAGTGAATACTCCCTATAGACCGATCTCACTAAGCGTTTCACGCATGCACGATGCCGCAATAACTGTAGTTCACGGGAGTCAGGTGCCAGTGAACGAGACAGCTTGTGCTATCTCGTGCTCTGCTCGCCCAGCTCGCAGCAGGGTTATCGCGCTTGCAGAAAGACTGCAGTTCCCACGAAGTATGCCAGCATTGGGGGCGTAAGAAAACTGGATGGTGAGATCGGTCTATTCTCTTGGGGTAAAGCGTTCGCGCCTGGACGATCCATACAGCAGCGCTTCCACTGCGGTGTGACCCTAGAGGTGCGTTTTCCAACCTCCGCTAGCCGTCGTTGATTTCCATTGGAGTCGCCAATATGGCGACTCCACCGAAGTCGACGTTACCTAGCGGATAAAATAGAAAGCTGTGGCGGCAGTTTCGCTCGCCAGCTCTCTCGAGTAAATCAGATGTTCACAGTACCTTGCGGTCTAAAGGCGAAGCCGCGGAAGTAGGTTAGAAAACGCGTGATGAAAATCGCTAATAGCCTCCGGCCTACGATCACTCATAGTGAAACGATGTGTGGTCCAACTCGCTGTTCATTAAAAGTCAGCCTTTGTCCACAGCAGGTGGGTGAACTGCCAGCGCAGAAATTCCAAATCGGCATGAACTGAAACATACGCCAGTGCGCTGTGCTTTGGCAGGGCCACCTAAGTAGCCTGATGTCAGAGCGATGGTGTGGGATACATATGGCGTTGTATCGCTCAGTCACGTCCGTTTTCTTTCGAAAAGTTCTCATTATATGCCGAATTCCGAATTTTAAAAATGCGGAAGCAGAAAGTATAGGAGGTATTCATTGGACGCCATATTTGAGGACGATGTTTAGTGCGCATGCTCAGAACGAGCTCACATTAATAGCCTGCTAAGACCGGCAACCTTGATGGTGCTAAATGCACGCTCCAATAGGACTCTGGAAGCTCGCCGTCAGCACGCGCTCAGCAGCTGTGCACACGGATATGGCCGCCAGTGAATACTCCCTATAAAGCCTGGATCACACTACTCATGCACCATACAAAATGCTGTCTGCAAACAGGAGTCACCCCGATATGTGTGGTTCGAATGCCGCGTGTACAATTTTCTCCCTGAACTCATGGCATGCGGCATTTGAAGCACGAATCTCGCGGTGACTACTCGAGTTGGAATTTCTATGCATAGTGTTTTTGTATGGTGTATAAGCAGTGCGACCCCGGCTTAAGATAACAAGCGACCGTCGATTCCGTGTTTGACTTGAAGGGTTTTGTACTGAGGCGTCTTCGACAGACAAAAGAGATGCTAAAGCGGGCTTCTGTCAACACAAGTATGTATTCTTTGCTGAAATACAAATGGAGAAGGGCGAAAGTCAATACGCGCATTTTGGAGCTGCTTCGAGGAAGCTATGTTTCAACAGCGCTCCCTTTTGTTGCCGGAAGATCAAACGTACCGCAAAAAGGCTTAGGTTACCGTCGACTGCTCTTTTGAACTGAGGCGAATGCGCGGTTTCGCCTCCTTGGCTGCGTTTTCCCCCTAGGCACCGCGCAAATACCCGGAAACAAGCTGCTTACACGGAAGGCTCCTTAGTTTGATGAGGCCGAATAATATTCTAAAAGTATCGTAGTGCACCGTCGATCACTTTCTTGATGAGGCTTTTTGCGATGAACGCTTTCGTTTCATTCTTTCGTTTGCATCCATTTTATTTTATTTTACTAAAGTTCGTAACGATATACTATCAGCGGTTGGAACCATTAGCAGACAAGCTAGTCTGGGGTTCAGTAATAAAGTAGACTGCTCCTGCTCCATGCAACAGAAAAGATGGTTGGGGCGGTATAAAATAAACATAGCAACCTAATAAATATATACACGTTTAACCAATCTTAAATAAAAAACAAGTGCGAGTACGTATATCTCTAATATAGCTTTTTTATGTTGGCTGATAGTGTACTTTTAAAGCTTTATTACTGAATGCAAATACCCCATAGACATTTTTGAGCTAAAATAATCATAACTTATTTGGACTTTATATTTTGATACGAGCCTTTGAGACATGCTGAAGTTGAACACGAGAACGGAACCTTAAGGTTGGCTACAAGCGCGTGGTTACAAAAAAAAAAACATGCAGTAGGGCAATAGAAAATGGATCAAGAGACCTCTGTGTTCTGTAAATGAAGGGAAATTGAACCGGTTCTGTATCTCAGGAAAAGCTCCAACATCATGTTCATTTGGCCTCCGAGATCACGAGTATACAGAACATTTTTTTTTTCCATTTGCTGCACGCAGCCTACATAGATTCATTTACAATGTACCGCTGAAGCCCCTCCTTCCCGGAATCTCACGTCACAACATGAGTTTACTAAATCCCCGTTCTCGCGCATTTTCAGCGCCTATCAAAGCACACTCGCTATTTTCACAAAGTTCAGAAAGAGGCGTCACGATAAAAATGCACAGTCTCAGTTGTCACATTACGCAATGCAAAACGTCACGCCTAGCATTGCTTAATGTCACAACTCAGACTGCGTTTTTCTTTTTTTGTCTAATTATATGTTTCGGCGGCGTCATTCGCTGAGCTGCCTCCGTAAGTTGCGGTGATTGGCTCTCCGAGTGTTGTACGGGAAAGAAGATGCACTATAATTTTTTTTCCGAGTGGTACACTCGGAAAAAAAATTATAGTGCGTCTTGCTTGGAAGCCAAGCTTGGAATAAGCCTGTCACCAAGCGTTTGGCGCATTCGTGAAGCCGCCATTAAAGCTTTTTTATGTTTCAAAAGTAGCGCAAGGTGCGTCGATGCACGAGGCACATGCAACTTGCAGGCCTTGGGAAAGTAATGGCGGCCCAGCGCAGCACTGCGCTAGATTTTAGACACCATGTTCGTCCCAAAAGTGGCGCGGGGCACTTGTCTCGAACATTTCCACAATGAATGGCGCCACTCTTACCAGGATAGAGGG